ATGTATTAACTAAAATTAATGTATTTCTGCGTCACATCCCTGAATGTTTGTGAACAGAGTCCTGCCCCTCTGGCCACTGAGTCTAGTTTGTTTAATTACAGACTGAATAGGCTGGGAGGCAGGCATGAACACATGGGACTTGAACATATCCCTGGCCTTTTCTTGTAGCTCACAGAAAGTAGCCCACCACTAACCTGAAAAGCAAAGCAAAACCAGAGAGACCTTACTGAATCATAGAATAGTAGCATTGGAAGGGGCCATGAAGGCCATCGAGTCCAACCCGCTGCTGTTGCAGGACACCACGTTACACCATCCCACTCAGATGGCTGTCCAGTTTCTTTTTGAATGGCTCTAGTGTGGGAAAGCCCACCACCTCTCCAGGCAATTGGTTCCACTGTTGCATTGCTCTGACAGTGAGGAAGCTTTTCTTGATGTCCAGCCTGAATCTGGGTTGTTGCAACTTGAATTGATTATTCCATGTCCTACACTCTGGAATCAGCAAGAAGAGATCTTGACCTTCCTCTTTGTGACAGCCTTTGAGGTACTTATAAAGGGATATCATGTCCCCACTCAGTCTTCATTTCTCAAGACTGAACTTGCCCAGTTCTTTCAATCGCTCTTCATAGGGCAGTGTTTCCAAACCCAGGATCATTTCTGTTGCCCTCCACTGGACCCTTTCTAATTTACCTGCATCTTTCTTAAATCTTGGTGCCCAGAACTAGACATAGTATTCCAGGTGAGGAGTATAGAGGAACTACTGAGTGTGAGCAGCTATCACAGACAGACTAACCATGGCATCTCGTGGGTTAATTCATTAATCCATGCTTTGTCATACATAAGCAGGGGTGAGTGAATGTACTTCTGCCTGCCTGCTTGTCCTTTTAGTCAACAACCTGTGATTGGCCAGGTCTCAGCTTGTGTATCATGATGTGCGAACCCAGGCTGCTGAACCACTTAAGCGTGATTTAACAACAAACAAGGCTTAACCTGGCCATTTGTAGGCTATTGATTAAAAACAAAAGTAGTTGACACAGCATTTGCCCCTGCCCACCAACTCATCTGCCCGCTATTTCTTGTTTATGGCAGAATGCAGGCTACATGCAAACAGTGAGAACTGGCCCAGCAAGTGAGTATATGAGAGTACTCAGGTCCTTGAGGCGACTGGAAGCTGCCAATGATGTGCAGTGAAGGACACTGTGTTGGGTGTAGTTATTTGCAGAGAGATACTTTTCGTTCCTTTTTTCTTCTGTGGGGAAACATTTAAAATGGAATCACAAGTCCAAGAGGTTCAGTATGGCATCCAGTGCAGGAAGGAGGAGTATGATTGCCACATGTGAATTACTCGAGATTATTTTCCAGGCTCTTTATCCTATATAAACTTGGTGATGCCAGATGTTTAAAAGTGTTGATCTGCTTCTGATATATTCTCTGATGAATTATTGATAGTGGAAATGGTTTACTCTTTTTATTGTTCAGTACTTATAGCATTTTAATGTTTACTGTTTATAACCTGTCCTGGGAACACTGTTATTAGGTGGCACTGTTATACACTGCAAATCAGTCTCCATCACGTATGATTTAGGGGACTACTATTATGAACCTGCATTTGTGTTAGTGAATGTGTTTGATACTGCCTTATTACATTCCACAGTGCTTTGTAGTTGCACACTTATGGAATAAAGGGTCCACACTCCTCCCCCTCCCCCTCCCCCCACATCCCCTTCCCACTTTGCATTTCTGGTGGAAGTAATATATGTGAGGGTATGCAATGAATGCTGAAGAACATAAACAGAAGGTCCACATTCATTGCAAGTTATATGTGGTATATGATCATGTACAAAAGGCACAGGAAACCCACCGGTTTTGCAATAATTTGCTCTCTCTAGCTCTACTTAGCTTGCAGTATTGTATATAGTATCATAGTAATTTGTAATCCACACCAAAGCTATGTTTTAACATGGTTAAGAAAAAAACATTCCAATCAAAAAGTCTCCCCAAATTTAATGCCAGCATTTGAAATGGATCTCAGTGCCAGGTCCAGATTCAGAGCACCCTTGGCAAGACTTCCCTCCCTCAGTGAGTCTACCTTCTCATCACCACTGTTCCCACCTGCTATTGTTCTGCATCCTCCTGCTGTCGCTACCGCACGGCTTGTTGGCCTTCTGGTGGGCAGGTGCTCCACCATCCCTACCTTTGATACTACTCCTCAGTATCTATGCATCCACCAGAAAAGGGTATTTTTTTCCTCCTCTTTCTGCATTCTTTTCTCTTCCCTTGCTTGCTTGGGCTCATGAACAGAGTTCTTGCTGCCTTTAGGGAAGAACCTATGACCATTCACATGCTGCATTCCTTCCTTGCAGGTAATTATTAGAGAACTCCTTAGGTAAATGACTTAAGCCGCCTAGGAAGGCCTCTCCAATTATAGGTGACCCATAAATATAAATAAATAAACTGAGGAACTAGTGCTGGTTTCACTGATAATGAGAACCCCCAGTGCCTGAAGGTTAGCAACACTACTTAAATCAACATCATCGTGTTGGTTAAACCTAGGTCTTCAAGAGTATTTATGAGTCTTGTTTATTTTTAAAAGCCATTTTGGTTCAGGTCCCATACTCTCAATGAGTATTAAATACAAACATTAAAGGTGGCTTTGATGTTTTCTTGCTAACAATGGGTGGCATATTTCTCCATATTTAAAAATAACTTCAAGAGAAATAATGTCCTTCCTTTAAGATCCCCCCAAATAATAATAGAAAAGAGTTTTCATTAGGTTTTTCCACTTTAGGTACTCTGTTCATTATTATGTAGCCAGTCTCTCACAATTTACATTTCAATGAAAAATGGAGCCATCAAAAATCTATCTTGAAGGAACTTCTGGTTTTAGATTACCTGTCATTCAGCCTGATAAGCAGCTGCCAGTCCTTTGTGGACTATCTGAAAGTTCCACTGAATACAATTGTTTTCAAAGGGCTTAATCTGTAGTTGAAGCCTGGTTTTTCTTTATATGCAGCAGCCATGGGAAACTGGGGCCTACAGATGGTGCTGAATTATCAGCATCCTAGACCACTGGCTGGGGCAGATGAGAACTGTGGACCAGAGGTTCCCCATCCCTGAAATACAAGGTTCCTGGAAATAAAACTATAATCCCCAGCAAAGTTACATTATAGCAATCATACTAAACTTGGCGGGACCATTTCAAATACAATATGAAGAATGAAGTAAATTCAGTACTGTTGAATTAGTTAGACCTAGAATAACCAATGCTGCACTTTCAGTGTTGTTCTGGGTACTGATCCCACATATATTTACTCATTCTATTTTAGCCTTTTATACTTATGAAGGTGCAAAAGGCTATAAAAGCTCAAGGGGCTGTTATATGATTACAGCATTTCTTCTCTATGGCTTTAAAGGAAAAGGTACAGGTGGAGGAAGGCAGTACTAAATGGTCTGGCTAAAAAAGGAGGTTTCTCTAGGCTATGGACCTGGAAGATTTTTTTTTCCTACTTAAGATCTGTAGGTCTCTGCAGGAAGTTGCTGCAGGAAGTTATTTGAAGTTTTGGAGTGAAATGTCATCAATATGCTGATTCTCAAGAGACACTGAACACAGGTATTCTGGGGGTGTATAATCAAAGGAACAGTAAAGCTTTTATTCAGATATATAGGAAATACATGCTGCATGTAGGTAGCCCAAAAAGGACCATGAAAGGAGATTCTGTACAGGATGCTTTCTAATGTATTAGTCATCTGGGCAGTTTCTGAGAGCTGTTTGTAATGAAAACAAAAGTTTGAATGGTTTAAGATAAAGGACAAAAGGGGCGGGGGGGTGGTGGTCAATGCAGACATATATTAGAATATCTAAACTGGGTGTAGTGAAGAACAAGACTGACAACTTTGGTTTCCTGACTGAACCAGGATGCCCGTTTTAACAGTTCTGGTCAGTTGCAGACTTTCTGAAGCCATATTATGGTGAAGCTTTGATTCATTTAGTCCTGGCATGATGAAACTCAACTTTACCTCTCTGGAAAGTTCATACAACTTGGTAAGCCATCCTGAAATAAGCCACAGAAGGCTGGTTGTTTGCTGACCCACCAGAGAGCATCCAAGACATGCATTTCAGCATCCTTCCCAGCAGGACCCATGTTGCTGCCCCCTTCCTGCTCTGATTGCTCTTCTTCAGAGCCTCGACAAACACAGCTGGAGCTTAACTTTTTTTAATTGATTTTGATGTCTGAAATGTTCTACTATTTCGGCCCTTTGGAAGGGTACCTTTACATCTATCTAAATAGGTGTCGTCTTGCCTGGTCAATTTCTTTGTCTGTTTCAGCTGTCAAGTGTGTTAACTCCTCCTATTTTTCAGAGCAGTAACTCCAGGAATTTCCCCTCTTCCCAACAATTTAAATTGCATATATTTCTGCAGAATGTTGTTGTTGTTGTTTTAGTCAGGTAACTGCAGCACTCAGAAAAGTAGCCAAGTAAAGTGTGTACGGGGAGGGGAATTTAATATCTGGAACAGCTGGTGGCTCTGGGAAGCGCTGAAGAGGTGAAGGACACGGGGAACAGTCTGTTCGGCAATGACAACCCAAAGGATTGCGCCTAAAAGTGGGTGCCGTTGTCCGCGCAGCATTTTAGAGCGCACCCCTGATCCGTGCTTTCCCTTCCTTCTCGAGCACAGAGAAATGCACGAGCGCCTTCTCGGCCCCGTGAGGAGTGGAGAGGCGCCACCTTCGTCATTGCCCTCACCTACTCGGCCCACAAGGCTGCTGCTGCCGCGGCGGCGGAAAAGCAGGGCTGGTGCGCGGCGCAGATGGCGAGGGGGGCGCGCGTGTGGTGCGAGGGCGACGGGCGCCGCGGCGTCCCCTGCGCTCCGCTCCGCTCGCCCGCCCGCCGCCAGCAGCTCCTTCGCCCCGGTACGTCCAGCCGCCGACGCGGCGCTCACACAAAGGGGCGGAGCTACGCGAGAGGAGAGCCGGGGAGACCGAGCTGCCGAGCTAGGGAAGAGATCCCGTGGAGAGCTGAGCGCGCAGCCCGCCGGCGCTGGAGAGGAGGCGCGTCGCGCTGGTGGGGAGAGAGCCTGACGGCGAAAGAGGGGTCCTTCCCAAGTTTGGAAGCGCGTGAGAAAGCGAGGCCCTCTGCCCTCCCCGAGGACTCCCTGCGCCATCTAGTAAAAGATTGGAGAACGCCAGATCAACCTCAGGATGGATAAGTATAAAGGTAAGAGAGGCGGTGTCTTTGCGGCTTTCTCCCGGGCGTGGGAAAGGGGAAGCGGCGGCGCTTGCGAGGGGGTCGCGCGTTGCTTTCCCACAGCGGATGCTCGCGTTTTGAGGGGCTCCTAAGGGAGCGCAGCGCAACACGTTGCTGGATCCGAGCCCCTCAAGCGTCGGTCTCTTGCGATGTTTCTCGGGTGCGTGGTGGAGCCGGATTTTGGCGACGCGCGGGCATCCCACAGTGAATCATTGGGCAGAAATGATGCGGGCGGCGGGCGGCGGTTTGATCGAAGTGGCCCACGGGTAGACCCTAAGAACGGTGGTGCCCTGTCGCGTCCCAATATAACGAGGCTGAATTAGGGTTAGGGTACTACGCTTTCAGAAGTGGGAGGAAGCTTCCCTTGAGTTAGACGCTGGAAGGATTTAACAGTGCCGTTTGGGGTGCGGAGGATTTTAGTTCTGATGGTGATCGAAGCACTCCAAAACGGGCGCGCGAGTGTGTGTGAGAGAGAGAAAGAGAGAAATGCTGACATGCTCGCCTTCCCTTGGGAGAGGGATTAGAGGAATTCGGCGTCTGTGGGTGTGCGGTGATGGTGAGCGTGAGCGTGCGAGACTCTCGGGCCTCCTTGCAGCACATCAGATGCTTTAAGGATCAAAAGGTGGAAAACAGGATATGGGAAAGTGAACACGAGAGTGCTCCTGGGGTTATAGCCGGATGGACGGAAGCGGGGGTGGGGTGGGGTGGGGGGGGCTGATGGGTGGGAGAGTTGCAGCCTTTGCACCTTGCGGGCGCGCGCTGCGTGGGGATGACGGCCAGTTCAAAGGGCTGCCACCGCCGCCGCGCCCGTCCTCTCCGGGGAGCCGCTGTCGCTCCAAGAGGGGACAGCGAAGAGGAGCGATTTTGTTCCTGTGCAGAACCTTTCGGAAACGTTGCAGACCCTCTGGGCTTAGATGGCAATATCCGTCGTCCGCAAGGTTATGCTGGGGGAGTCAATATATTTATTAACAAACCGGGGGCAGGGTGGCTGATGGAGGTGGAGGCTGGGCTTATCGAAGGCACGATCTAAAGTCCTTCTGAGCAGTCAAAGAAGTGATGGTCTCAGAACTTAGTTTCTAAAAAGAGAGTGGTGCTTGCGTAACTACTCCCCTGCTAGCACTTCCAGAACCCGAGGGTAGTGTGTATGTATGTATGTATGTATTATTTTACTATTCCTCCTTTTTCATTTCAAGGCAGTTTACATAATTCTCCTCCTCCTCCTCCCAATCTCATCCTCGAGGGTATGGCATGGGGACAGATGTGATTGCCCAGAGGTGATGGAAAGCGACTCTGGACTCTGTACATTCCCTGAAGCACTTCTCTTTATTATTACTTTGAAGAGTCCAGGATTAGTATCATAAACAGGCAGCCCTGACACATGTGAATCCTTGAAAAGGGATGGTTTCTTACATTGAACTTAACTGAGATTTGTTCAGGAGCAACAAGCTAATCCTTATTTGCTAAAGATATATTTGCTGTTTTGACATGTTAGGCGAACTTAACTAGGAGTAAACTGCAATGAACAACATGAACTTATTTCTGAGTAAACCTGCATAGGATCATGCTGTAGCTGCTATTATTTATTATCTCTGAATTTACTGGGTGTTGAGAAGATACACTGAGTTAAGGATGCACGCTGCCAGCAGGAGAGAAATCTAAACACAGTAAAGAAATGATTGCCCGCTTAACCTGTTTTGGAGCTTGTCTGACCAGTTGACAGTGCAATCCAGTGGGGCCAGTTTGCATCAGTAGCTGAGAGTGTGGCATTCTGCATTTATCATTTTACCTTTGAAAATAAGCTTCCCACACTGATGGCCAGGGCTTTTCTCAAGTGTGTCTTGTTCTAGCCTAGATCAGTCAATCTAAACATATAATTACATTGCTTTCTGAATCTGAATTCTGCAGACTATGGGCGTGCAGCTTTATATATACCTACTCAGAAGTAATCATCGATTTCAGTGGGATTTACTGTAGAACTGTAGCTTAGAACTCTTGTTTGTTACCCCCTTTTACACCTTTATGGCAATATCAAAAGCAGCAGTTCTCTGTGCTTCCATCCAGATGTGTGGCCAACTATCAGCTTTGCTACCAAATACCACTCATGTTTGCATGAATATTCCCAACTTTGCTTTTATTTAATTATTTAACTTTAAACCATCCAGCCGCTGAACTCTCTGGGCAGTTTACAGCCATCCAATTAAACACAATTAAAGTTCTTCATGTTTATGCGTGTCTGAGCTGGTCACAGCCCTAAGTGCCAGTGCTTTCCCCTTTCTTTCACTTACTTGGCAATGTGAAAGTGTGATACTTAAGTGTGATATTCACTAATTTGATGGTGAATACCCTGTCTTCCTCTTTCATAGCAGAAGAAAGTAACAGGTAATCAGGTCTAAAAATGGCAGTCACTTAGGCAGGTCTAAAAATGGCAGTCACTTAGGCATCATCATCTGCATTTGGATGATGGCAAAGCAGATGCTCTGCATTTAGGAAGGCCTGAGGTCAAGCCTTGGCTATCCAGTTGGAAGGGTGAAGTAGCTGGTGATGGGCAAGATTATTCTTTGGCTAACATCCTGGAAAGATGTTGCCAGTCCGTACTAGGTTAGATGGGCTACTGGTCTGATGGGGCATAAAGCAGTTTCCTATCCTGTTAGGCATCAGTCCCATATGATGAAAGGATTCAGCTCTGAAAAACAAAATGCTCTAAACTGACTTCCTCACTGGAACTTGCTGTGATGCTGCAGCCATGGATAAGATGGGAGAAGACCCAGCCAATTGTTTCAGCCAGATGGTAATCTAGAAGAGTTGCAAGAGCAACAGAGCCTGGGAAGGGATGCTCTCCTCTGTGGTCCTTCATTGTGGCTGGACCACAGCTCTGGAACTCCTAGGCGGCTCTTGTAAGCCGCCTAGGAGGAAGTTATAGGCAGCCTCTAAATATGTGTATAACTAAATGAACACCTGGCTGAGGGAAAAGAAGCTGGCTAGCAGGAAAAGAAGCTTTTATTCAGGCAGACCCTTGGACTCAAGCTAGTCTCCTGTTGTAGAGGAGAATATTTCTGTGTAGCCTGAAGTGCCTCAGCCTGCCTAAACTTGAAAGCTAAACAGGGTCAGACCTGGCTAGAATCTAGATGGGAGAATTGAGCCCTGCATTGAGCAGGGGGTTGGACCTGATCGCCTGCTAGGCCTCTTCCAATTATATGATTCTGTGATTAGATTAGGCTTAACCTACCTTACAGGGTTGCTGTGAGGATAAAGTTAAGAGGAGCGGGACCATATGAACCACCTTGGATCTCTCGCAAGTGGAAAAGGGTGCTTTATAAATGTAATAAACAAACAAACCTCTCTGTTAGCCTTATCCATCCCTGTGGAGTCCACCCACAGATGTATTGACTTCTTGGTACAACACGTGTTGCAGAAGCTGATCCATGTGACGTCGGTCCCTGCATGAAGATGGATGCAGAGGTTGGGTTTGAAGAACATGATAAGCCACACTGAAGGATTCTGCATGGGTTGAGTGTGGGTTGTCATTGAATTGTGTGTTGTTGAAATGCACATTAATGTGTTGTCTGACACTAGCCACACCAGCAAACCATGGCTGTTAACCATGAACAGCCTACACTCCACAATAGAAACACAAAGCATGAATTTTCTTTATGGGTTGATTGTGGCTAACAAGCCATGGTTTGTTGACACACTTGGGCTCTGACAATATGTTAACCCATGTTTCAACAACCCACGATTCAACAGCAACCCATACTCAGCCCTTGTTTCCTCAACCCAGTCAGAGGGTCCCAGTCCTGTCACTCCAGTGCCCAAGAGTTCCCCAGTGGTCATTATTCTATTCATCCTCAAGCTTTCATTGCTGTTCCCCTTCATTTCTCTTTTCCAGTGCAGTTAAGATGGCATATTTAAGAGGCTTATAAGCTACTATTCAAAATAGCAATATTTTAACCAAGCAGCCAGCAGGATATATTAAAGCCATCATAAAGTATACATCAAGATGTATATTTAAATAATAGAGGACAATCTAACCAATTTCCCCACACAGAATATATTAAAATCATATTCAAAACCTAATTAACATTTAAAACAATAAAACAGAATGAACTATGTCAACTACCTCATTTCATCCCTAACCCTCTATCCTATTCCATTCCTCTTCAGGACCTTTTATTTGCAGTAGCTGTAGCTTAGTTGGAGTTTGCATTGACTTCACGGGAGCTCAGTCATTTCAACTACCCTGCTTAGCCCCCTTTTTTGCTATGGAAAAATAAGGAAAATGGGATAGCTCTCATTCTATAAATAAAGATTCATGTGTATGAGATATGAAGTGCAGCGCTGGCATTCTGCTTTGAAGTCAATTCTTTGCTGTCATCCTCTGCAGTGTCTGATTTGAATCAGAAAGGGGCTCTGTTCCCCTTTGGGAACAGAGAACTACATTCCTCTCATGTTTGACAACTTGTATTTGAGGAGGGAGCAGGAGGTACAGCAAAGCAACTGGGAAGGCAGCGCACCAGGCAGACGGGTATGTGGGTGCGTGTGAGGCCTGGCTAGCTACATCACAGGCAAGAGAAGAGGGATTGTGGGAGCCTGCATCCAGCCAAAAATTTGGCTCTCGGAGTGCACCTGGATGAACTTTATCAGCTGCTTGTCCAATGTCTGCTTTCCCCTTGGAGTCTTACAAGGCCCTGAGAATCCCTTTCCATTTACTGTAAATCTTTTTTTTTAAGCACAATGTCCTCCTCCAAAAATAGAACATATAGTATATCCAAGTGGCAAATTTCTATAATCTATATCTTATATTACTGTATGTCTATAAGATAAAGCATGCTAAAATGGGGAAGGGGCTTAGTTTGGTGGCACAGCACCAGCTTTGTATGTGGAAGGATCTCCATGCAGGGCTGGGAGCCCTTGCTAGTTGGTGCTGATGTGTTTCAATATAAACCAACTTTGTATTTTTCTAAATGCTCTAC